TCTACTACTGCTACTACTACTACTACTACTACTACTACGGCTACGGCTACGACTGCTACTACCACCACTACTACTACTACTACTACTACTACTACTACTACTACTACTACTACTACTACTACTACTACTACTACTATTACCACTACTACTACGGCTACTACTACTACTACTACTACTACGACTGCTTCGACTACTACCACTACTACTACTACTACTACTACTACTACTACTACTACTACTACTACTACTACTACTACTACTATTACTGGTATTACTACTACTACTACTACTACTACTACTACTACTACTACTACTACTACTACTACTACTACTGGTGATACTGCTTATTACTACCACTACTGTTGCCGCCGCCATCACTACTAGTCCTCTCTTACCAGTACGACGATCCACCACTGCCACTACTGGTTCTGCTGCTCTCGCTATTGCTAGCTGTATGTGTACTGATGTTACTACTGCTACTGCTTCTGCGGCTGTTGCTGTTACCACCCCTTCCAGGGCCTTTGCGATCAGCCCTGTTGTTACCGTTGTTGTTGTTTTTGTTTATCGTGTTGCTGCTGCTAGGTACTGCTGTCTTCGTTGTTCGCCCGTTCTTGGGCTCGCCGCTCGCGCGCCTTGGGGCCAGCCAGCGTCGGCTTCTGGGGCTGTCGCCCGCCCAGGCGCGTCGACAGTGAGGCTGAAGTTCAAGCTTACACGTTCGCAGAAGCCGAGAGGAGAAACAAGCGCAAGTGCCTTCCTCTGCGGGTGGGAGCGAGGGGCTGCGACGATGGGTTTGCGGCCGCAATATGGTCCCCCCTGCATTGTCCCCCGTGTGCTCGTTATGGTCCCTCGCGCGTCCCCCCTCGCATAGTGCCATCATGTGGTCCTGGGGAATCCGTGCCCGCCCTCCCACGTGCGCCCACGGACACAGCAAGACCGTTCGAATGCATGGAGCCTCTGGGCCAGGAGGTTTTGGAAACCATCACTATCCAGAAAGTGCGAAGCTCCTGCCAGAAAACGTGGCCGAAACTTCACGCGACTGCGAAGACGTGGTGGTGGTGCTGGCGGCGGCGGTGGTATTCCTTCTCGAGTCAGAGGTCGAAAAGCATTGCCGCCAGGGCGCGGAGATATCGCCTCGCGCCGCTTCTTGCCCTCGCGCAGCGTGAGGCGCGCAGCGCGAAGCTAGGTGACGTAAGGGGCCAGGATAGCATTCGTCTTCGATCCACGGTGCGCCCTGGGGGGAAGGCAGCTGGGGCTGGCCTTCTCAGAAGGCGGCGAGGCTTCTCAGGAGCCCTCGCGCCTTCGAAGAAGGCTCCGAAGGATTTTCAGAGGGCGCGAAGGCTTCTGAGAAACCCCGCCGCCGTCTGGGGGGGCCCGCCCCCTGCCTTCCCCCCTTGACGCGCCGCCGAAGAGTGTCGGCCGCCTGTTGCGCGCCCGTCGCACGCCTGTTTCGCCAACCACGGGCGCCCGCGGGTTTGGGTGCCCTCCCGCCTGGCGCGACCATCGGCTCACCCGGCGGCCTTCTGGACAGCCTGCTCCAGACGCTCCCGCGCCGAAAGGCCTCCCAGGGAAGCGCCGACCCCCCCTGTTGCCCTCCTCTCTCTCCCTTCGCTTCTCCCTTCCCTCCCTTTCCTCTCCACCCTCTCCTCGTTCTCCCCCCTCTTCCCCTCCCCCATCCCCTCTCCTCCCGGTCCTCCCTTTCATCCGCCGTCGCCGTACCCAGACCCCCCTTTCCCCCTCTTTCTTCCCCATCCCGTTCATCTCCTCCCCCTCCTCCACCTCTCCTCTCCCTTTCTGCCCATCCCTGCGCCTCCCCCTTCATCTCCTCCCCTCCCCCTTAATCTCCATCTCCTCCACCTTCATCTCCTCCCCCTCCTCTTCCTCTCCTCTCCCGCCCCTCTATCCGCCTCCCCTTCCCACCCTTCCCATCTCCTTCTCCCTCTCTTCGTTGCCCTCCCTTCATTCCTCCACGCCCGCTCCATGCATACCCTCCCCCCTCTCTATCTCCCCTCTCTCTCTCTCTCTCTTGCCCCGCTCGCCCATGTCATCCCAGTCAGCAACTCAGACTCCTCAATTCTCCCTCCATCTTGGACTACCTGTGTAGACTTTCGTTAGCTCGTGCAGGCATATTCACTGAGGGAAGGCTGTAAGAGGAGAAATTGGTTGCTTCAGATGATAACAGTAGCTGCCATCAGACAGGAAGTTCTCTGGATTGACACTGTGTCGCGCGAAGACATGACCATGTGTCCATCCTACAGAGCCTTTCCCTCAACGACGGAAACACATCGTGTCTGCCTGTCTGCTGTCGGGATCCACCAATGCGGCATTCAAAAGAGAGGATATGTGAGTTTGGCGACCTGCTGGATCCATAGCATCTACGCTTGAACGGTCCTTTGCAAAGTCGCTGAAGATGCAGAGTCTGTCTTGAGGATTATGCAGACTCTCAAAGCATGTCGTGCTTCTGGTTCGCTTGACTCTTAGAGGCTCTTGGACCCTCTTTTGTTGCACCTAATGCATACAGCAGGAAGTCAATACCCCCTTTATTTGAGAGACCAACAACAACAACCCTGAAGAGGTGAGGCAGTCGCTGATTTATACTTTTCATGCTGTGCTAATCAGCGGCGTCTGTGTGTGTGTGTGCTAACCAACGGCGTCTGTGTGTGTGTTCAGTTCCGTAGCCTTTGGCTCAAGCAGCGTTGGCAGAGTCGGGCGCCGGCTCGGCAACTTCCCGGGAGTCTCCCGGAAACCTCCAGGAGTCTCCCGAAGGCTTCCGCGACCGACTGCGCGACGCCATGGGGGCTGCCCCCAGCGAGCCGGCCGCGGCCCCCACGCCGAACCGCGCCGCGGCCGTTGCCGCTGCCGAGCGGGAGGCCACCACCGTGCCGTGCAGCGCGGCTGCCCCCCCGCCAGCGCCGTCGGTGAGAAGTCCCTGTCCCACCGCACCGGAGCACTCGACTGAGGACGAGCCCGATGCCGTTGCGTGGCCAAATGTGTTGCCGTGTTTTCCACCGAGACCGCAGTTCCAGAAGCAAATCGGAGATACCGCTCCTTTTCTGCGCTTGCGCCGCGAGAAATCCAAGTTGTACGATTTGCACGAGGCATTGTTCGTGGTGGTGGAGAACATCTCAGATTTTCCAGTTCTTGTCATGCCCAGGGTATGCCGTGGTCGCTTCATGAAAGGGGAGGAGGACATGGTTAGTCAGTTGCTTTTTCCAGGGCAAACGTACCAGCTGACACGACTTTCGACAGACAAGGAACATTATCGTATGGATTGCTACGCGTCAGGCTTGCCGCACTTCCCTTGCAATGGGGTTTCCAAACGAGTTGACCCCACGTGTATCGCTATCGTTTGCCAGCCAGCATTCCGTGATTCGAATGATTGGGAGCCCATGGGCAGCGAACGCGGCTTATCGCACCCTGAAGGTTGGGTGGTGTACATCGACCACCTCGAGGATTGCTACGTAAAATTTGAGCTCATGCGGACTTGTAAGTATGTCGACGACCGCAGGCCTCTCAAGATGATTAACACATCATTGGATGGCATCCGCTATTGTCAGGACAGTTGTGGAACCACATTTCGCGATGGCCGATCTCTAAAAGCTACGGTGAAGGAGCTGAAGGATGGCACCATAACTGTCGCTGACCTTGGCATCCGGGTCGTCGAATTCGGTTCCATTTACTTTGCTCTGGACAATCGCCGCTTGAGATGTGCGAAGCAGGCGTTCCCCTCAGGAACGCATCCTAAGCATTCTGTTGCCGTGCTTCTCGCTGACCTGCGCGATCCCAGAATATCGAAGGAGTGGGAAGCCAAATTTACCGCTGGCACGAGGATTGCTACGCACGAGGAGGTGAGAAAGAAAGACAGACGCGGTGCGCACGAGTCGACCCCCGCGGTCCGGCAGAAGCAACAGAGACAGGCGCGACAGACACCACCTATGGAGTCTCCTGATGTCAGGCCAGACACAAGTGTGAAATTCTAGACGCTTCGCGTATCCCCACCAGCCCTCATACCCGACAGACACCCTGGGCTGACTTTCTCGCACGGAGTTTGGTTCCCACCACCATGCGGTTGTCGGTTGTCACGACCCATGACTGGGAATGTACGGCGCGCCATTTTGGCCGCGTCCGCTTTGCTTCCTGGGTGACTGACCCTTCAGACTCCCTGGGTTGCTGCTTGCACGACCGCCTGGCCTCTCAGACGCCCTGGGTTGCTGCTTGCCCTGCCGCCTGATCCGCGGCCCCCGCGCGCGCCCGGGTAATTCGTCACGGCCGCAGCCCGACCGTGACCCCTCGCCGCCGGCGCTTCCGCCTGCGGCTGTAAAAACAAAAAAAATCCCCACCAGCCCGTCCAGAAACGACGCCCAGGCGAGTAGAGGGTCGTCCTGAGGGGCTTTTCGGCGTCTTGGGTGCCTCGGGGGGGCCTCTGTGGGCCGTTCGGGATCCTCTTTGGGGCCTCCTGGGGGCCTCTTGGGGCCTCTTGGGGCCATCTTGGGGCCTTTGGGGGCCTCCTGGGCGCTTCTTGGGGCCTCCTGGGCGCTTCTTGGGTGCCTCTGGGGGGTCTCTTGGGGCCTCTTGGGGGTCTCTTGGGGGCCTCCTGGGGGCCTCTTGGGGGGCCTCGGAGCCATCTTGGAGGAGATCGATCAACGAAGGGGGGTTCCCTAATTACAGCCCCCCCCTCAGGAGCCACGATCCTCGTGAGGGGTGTCGAATTTTAGCCCTCCCAGGGGTCGATCTTGGGCGCTCCAACGCGCCGCGGAACCCCGTTTTCAAACACAAGTGCTGCGGCCGCAGGCCCGTCACTGACATGCGCCCAGTGCGGCCGCTCCTTGGTTGAAGGACGTTTTTCCGCGACCCAGCTCAAGAAGAAGGACGCCAGGCGTTGCCGCAGCTGTGTGGGAGCTTGAAAAAAAAAACGCGTTTATCGCTCCGGCGTGCTCCGGACTCTCCTGCGCCGCTGCGCGCTGAGTCCTCCGCCGGGTCCTTCTCGGCGCCGCCGTGGGCCTGGTCTGCCGCGCCTCCGTGTTTATAGCTCCGGCGTGCTTCGGGCTCTCCTGCGCCGTTGCGCTCTGAGTCCTCGCTGGGCCCTCTTTCGGCGCCCCCGTGTCCCTGGTTCGGTTTTCTGGGCGAGCCTCGCCCCCCCCCCCCCCTTCCAGGGCCCGCCGCGTTTTAGGTCTGCCGCGCTCCGGGAGTCCTCCTGGTTCCTCGGCTGCTCTCTTGCGTGCGTCCGCACCGCCCGCTCTCGAGTGCGCCGCACCCACCCCTTTTGCGCCCCTTTTGTGCACTTATCTTGTGCAGTCCCGCTGCGTTTTGTAAGCTTTAAACTTTTGCTCTGTGCCCGAGCTTTTGGACCGCTTCCTGATTTACGACCGCCGCCGCGCGGTGAGTCCGAGCCCGTAAAAAAATGTGATGTCAGCATTGTTTGGGGGTTCATGATTTTTAGAGTCGGCCAGACGAGCCTCTCCCAACCAAAGGAAACCGCTGACAGTCTGTCCTATCACTGTTCGCCCTCCCAACACGTGAGGGCGCTGGCTGGAACAAGGGCGCCCTCGAGGGCGCGAAGCTATTCGCGCTTCGCGGTTCGGCTCCGATTCCTCCTCATCGTCCTCTTCTCCCCTGGGAGGCGCCGCGAGAGCGCGAAGTGATTCGCACCTCTCGCGCAGCGCGAAGGTGGGAGCCCTTGCTGGAACACCGTTCGCTGCCCACCGTACTGGGCATGCTGGGGCCCTGCCTCTCCGGGGAGCGCGCCGACCGCGGCCAGGCCTGGGGCCTCGGAGGGGCCCCGAGCCCTCGCGCCTCCCGCTCGCGCACCCCCGAGCTGCCCGCCGGCGTCGAAGAGCTTTCTCCCCGAGGCTCGGCGTGAGACACAGCTGGCACGAGGGGTTCCGCAAGAGCGATCGCCCGTCTCTTCCCGGACCTGCCTCTCGGGAGGCATGCCAACATAGGTTCTAGGCCCTGCTCTTCCTCCTCCTCCTCCTCCACAGACCTCCAACGTCTCGAACAAAACTGCGCCAGAGTTTTGTTCGCAGCGTTAGCCGTCTGGGGGCCGCTTCCCAGGCCCCAAGACCAGAAAGGGACTTAGCAGGATGAGCTCGTCCCTGGATGCAGGCGTCGCGAAAAAGTCACGACCCGCATTCTTGCATCGACCTCGCGCCCGTCTGGTACCCTCAGGGATCGATCCCAGTCGAGAGGTTCCGCAGGAAGAAGGGGCCAGTGCATGACTCTGGTCGTATTTTAGTCTACGATGCCGTTTCGGGCCACTCCGTTGCGTGGCCAGGCGGCCCTCCTACGGCACCACATCGTCGCCTCTCTCGACATGACAGGGGGGGCAGGGAATCGAGACGGACCGCACGTTGCACGTCGGTCTTCGCCCAGGGGCGACCAGATCCAGCAGGGTCCCTTTTCAAGGGAGGCAATATCACCCGGACCCGACAGTTCGCGTTAATTAAGCGGCCTTGGGCGTTTACTAAAAAACCCTGGCCTGCCCTGTTTGATTCCTTCTGTGGGTGCGTTAACTAAACGGCTTCGCGTGTCGGGGTGGTTATTATCGGGGTGGATTTTCTGCCCTCTACTCTTTCTCTTCTGATCGTCCTGACCCCAGCCTTCCTGCGGCCATCCTGGGACGGGGACCGCTGCATATAATCAAGCATAATCAGACATGAGCACGGCCCCCAAAGAGCGGTATGATGTTCTTCGTGGGAGGAGGGGAGGAGCGCGGCATCCAGCGCCTAGTGTCGGCCATGTGTAAGAGTGACCTGTCGCCTAATTGACCTTTGGTGCGGGGTCCACAGGGGTCCCCCCGGCAGTGGCTTGCGCGCGCGGATCTTGCCCCCCCTCCCGAGCGAAAAGCTAAGCGAAACGCTAAGCTAAAGCTAAGCTACAGCTAAGCTAAAGCTAAGCTAAAGCTAAGCTAAAGCTAAAGCTAAAGCTAAAGCTCCCAGGGGACTGGGGGGAACCGCTCCCAGGGGACTGGGGGAACCGCCCGGGGCGTGTTCCACTGCCCGGCCCCTTTAAGCTAAGAGAGATATAAGGGATCGCAAGTAAATACCCGCGGCGGATCACGGCTATTTGCGAGTGGTTACTTTGCGAATAGTGGGACGCGCTTCTCTACTAAAACCGAACACCAAAGGTCACTCTTGCCTACGGCAGGGTCGTGTCGTGCTGACGCGGCAGCGACCCCGCCACGGGCGTTTGAGGTCGAAGGCCTCCAGAGGCCCAGAAATCGGCCAATATGGAACGATTTGGCGATCGGAAAGCCGCCGATCGTCCGAGGTTGAACGATCCACGCGGTGTCAGAAACCAACGCCTGGGTTGTCACGGCACGAGCCCGCTGCGCGGACAAGTCGCACAGTAAGGATGAGCGATTTTCCAACACGGTCCTCACATCCTTGCCCCTTCGGTCCATCCTTGGCGGCGTTCGCTGGCCAGCCCCGTTCTAAAACGCCAACATGGCCCGCCAAGGCCCTGGAATCCTTACCACGGATTTTAATTACACCCATCATAATTTTCCAGAAAAAAACATCAACTCTCATGGACTTCAGATGTCGCTTAAGATAACCAAGAATATGGGCTGGACACTGGGTGTTCTCTTGGGGGTTGTTTTTGCGTAGAATGTTCGCGCATATCGACCTGGACTACTAACTACTATTTCAAAAAGTGCTTTGAGTGAAGTTTATGTTCGCAGCCTAGCACTTTCTGAACTCTAAGCAGACTTGCACGCGATTCGACTGTAGGGTCACTCTTGCGCGTAGACGACAGTGGGGCCGCCGCCCCTCTTGACCTGCAATCGCGGGGCAGCCGGCGGACAGGCCGTGCGTTGCAGCGCCGCCGCGGCCCGCATAGGCGACGTGTCCAGGCACCGCAGGTCAAGTCGGGTTCAGGACCAGGAGGAGGAGGATTAGGAGGAGGAAGAAGAGGAGGAGGCAGGCACGGCAGCGGCGCTCGGTACGTCCCTCAGAACAACCAGATCTCAAAGGTTCCCGATGTGTCACGGTCCGATGTTGTCCTGATCTTCTAGGTCACCCGCGGGGGCGCGAAGATGATATAAGATGATAGCTCTTCGCGTGTCACGGTTTGGGCCAGAGCGGCTGACTTTATCCAAGGGGTCGGCACGAGGGCGCGACGGCGCGAAGATAACCGCCCATCGCTGGGCGATGCGCGAAGTTTGGCGACCTAGAGTCAACACGGACAGTAAGGATGAGCGATGCTCCAAGGTTGCTTTTCCACCCTCTCCCTTCGGCCCATCTTTGGCCACTTTCGCAGGCCGCGCCCCGCTCGAAAAGTGTCGGCATGGCCTTCCAAGGCCCTTGCATCCTTATCGCGCATTCGACTACAGTTTATCCCGATCTGATGTTGTCCCGATCCTGCCTTCGTTTTGTAGGTCTCGGTCGAGGGGCCGTGCGCGAAGGGGGTGGTACAGCCGCGGCGCGGCGCAGAGGTGTGGTGGCTGCGCTCTCCATCAGCCGCTTCCACTGGCATGCGGGCCTCGTGTTCCCGCCGATGTTTTGCGAAGCGCGTCCTCCTTTTCCTCCTGGTCCTCCACCTTCCTCCTCCTCCTGGTCCTACTTTTCCTCCTGGTGCTCCACCTTCTTCCTTCTCCTCCTGGTCCTCCTCCTCCTCCTCCTCCTCTTCTTTCTCCTCCTCCTCCTCATCATCAGCAGCAGCATCAGCATCAGCATCATCATCATCATCATCATCATCATCATCAGCATCATCATCATCCTCATCCTCATCCTTGTTCTCATCCGTCTTTGTTGTTTTCGTCGCCGTCGTTGTTGGTGGCTTCGGTTACCTCCTCGCCCCTCATCGCTCTCCTCGTCGCCCGCCTTTCACAACACGTCCTCATGCTGCTGCTGCAGCTGCTGCTGCTCATCCTTCTTCTCGTCATTCTCTCGCCTGGCCAGCGCCCCGCGGAAGCAGTGTTTGAAGCTTTTGTGTTCATGTGTGCTCCGTGGAAGGAAAAAACATACCAGGTCAGGCCGGACGTCCGCTGGTTCTGTTACGATCCATTGCGCGACCTGTTATGACCTCCGTTGCCTGAGCCAATCGACTGAAGTACAATTTTGTCGTCGTCCCCGCCTGAGCTACTCAGGTGGTGCCAAGAGTACCAGCTCTGTGCTGAATATCTAGCACCCTCGACGGATGGATGGTAGCAGAAGCCGGGATGGTAGGAAGGAGGAGGAGGAGGAGGAGGAGGAGGAGGAGGAGGAAGAAAAAGAAAAAGAAGATGAGCAGGAGGAGGAGGAGGAGGAGGAGAAGAAAGGGGAGAAGAACTGGTAGGAGTGGGGGGCAGGAGTAGCGAGTGTAGGAGGATGGGGAGGAAGAAAAGTGGCAGGAGGGAGGAGTTCTACGACGGAGGATCGTGGGAGGGAAGGGGGCAGAGATAGCATCAGGAGGAGGAAGAGTTGGAGGGACGAGTGCTAGAAAGAGGAGGAGGAGGACGACGAGGAGGAATGGTAGGCCTGCGGAGGACGCGGACGACAGTACGAGGAGGTAAAGGAGGAGTATGAAGAGCGAGAAGGGGGCCGGGCCTCCTGGAACGCACCGGACAGGATGGAGGAGGAGGAGCTGGCAACAGGCGCAAGTTTGTGCGGAGGAGTTCGTGTGTGCGCCTGGTTCGGCGGGTGTGCAGTCGATGGGCGGGCGAGCCTGCTCAAGAACAGCACCAGACGGCCCCTGCCCCACGAACACCGACGCGCACCCAAAGCGGTCTGACGGCCTCCCCGACCGGTAGATGGGCCATATCCCCTTTCAGATCCCAGTCTCGAGCTTACCTGATCCGAGTCTTGGAGGGATTCGGTTGGGTCTTGTCGACTTGTGCTTCGTAAATCTTGTGGGTGCCGCGGCTGTGCCTGCGCAATTGAAACAACTTTCGGCACCTGGCGGGCCAATCTGATGCTTATCGTGCCCAGACAAAGCCCTCTTTGGAACACATCTTCTTAGGGTGGGTCAGCTGCTTCATCTTGAGACGGAGTGTCGCTGCTTACCCTCGCGCGCCATGTGCGCA